AAAAAGCATGCAAGTGACAGAGCCAGAACTTAAGCTGGGCGGTCTTTCAGTGAGGTTGAGTGATGGTTAATGAAGTTAAGATGTGAAATCTGCATTACCAGGGCTCAAGGAATATCCTAAGAGACAAGATTTTAGGAGGAAAACATGGAAATAATTTTGTTTATAATTATCATTTCTTTTATAACTTGTTTTAAAAAGTGAGTTGGGTTCCCCAGAAATAGATAGGATTATTGGATTTGGCAAATAAAAACACACAGTACTGTGCAATATTTGAGACGTACTTACACTAAAATATTATTCACTGTTTATTTGAAATTCCAGTTTAACTTGGTGTCCTGTATGTTATCTGACAACCTTAGAGCAAAGGCCTTTATGAAACAAACAGAAAACACTAATAAATTACAGAGCTAGAATTCCCAAAGCCGAAATCTGGGGTGCTCTGTGTACCACATGTTTTTGGGAGGCCAAGGAAAGGGAAGTGTCGTGAGGGCTACAGCTGTTCTTGACTGAGCTTCCTTCTTTTTCCTGGTAGCAGACAGAGCTTTTGACTCCAGAGACCAAGCTTTCACCAGCCAGGCCGTTTAAATTCACTGCCTCAAAATTCCTGACCTTTTCCTACTTTACACGGCCGTTGTGAAGATTAAATATAGCTGAGGTTGGGAGGGGATATCATATATATCTTTAAATATTTATTGGCAGAGTGCTTTGGAAATACATTCTCAGAAACTTGGACGAGACAGTCTCCCTGCCACTCCTCCAAGAAAGGGCTTGAAAAGTATTACCAATAAATGGTGAGCCCAGTTAACAGTAGACTCTAAAAGGAAGGAAAGAGCAAAAACAAGAAACATGTTTAAAACCTGACGTGAACTATGGAAAATGTAGTGAGATGCCAAAAGGGATACCTAGAGGAAAAACTGGATATCACTAATGATGAATTCCATACTTTCCAAATGGCTATGGATTCTTATTTCAAACATCACCTTGACACATAAGGACAACTGAATCACAAACACATTGGAACAGCCTAGTAGAGAACCAGAAATTGGTTATCTTCTGGATACCAATTTAACTATCTGCTAACTTCTAAAAAAACTTCCAATATCAGTGGTTTAAGGAGGTTTGCGTTCTTTGAAACAGACAAACAAAAAACACAATAAATTGGAACTGGCTCGGTCACTGTTCATTTAAACATTTTTCTGAACAACTTTAATCTTCCAACTTTAACAAAAACCCAATCTACTACACATAAATTGCTGTGAACAGAAACTGTTTGAAGAGGATTAATCACCAGCTTTGTTATGTCATCCTCTAACAAGGCCAAACACTGAATCACTGTTGAATTCTTCACGTGCAGCTACACCCAGTTAATCTTCAAGAAAGCAGCAAACTATGTAAATCTATTTAAACTGAGGAGATAAGTACTTCACTCATCAAAAGTTAGCAACTCCTATCAAGTACAGCTATTGGCTGGCAAGATCATTTGGAAAGAAAAGAAACACACACAAATTCTTATATTCACCCCTCTACCCCAAAAGACCCAACTGTAAACCACTGGGCCAAAAAAGAGGACTTGCTCAAAACCCTAAAAAAGGACATGCCTCAGTTTGTAAAAAACCAAGCATATGACATAACTGAGTCAACTACCTCAAGAAAGCAGTTCCATAATGGAAGTAAGGAAACACGAAGGGGGAAGTACCTAATAAAACAGTTGAAAATACAATGGAAATATTTATTTCCTCTAATTAAGGCCTTTTCAGCACAAAGCACTTTTTCTACAGAAACATACTAAAATATTTTCACAATTAAAGAAGCGGTTTTCATTTTGGTTGTGGGGTGTTCTCATATAATCAGACTAGGTTTGCTTAATATCCTACATCTGAAAGTCACAGTTAACAATAATTGGACACACAGGCTTTTCCATGGAGACTAGGGCCAGCAATCTTTGCCTAGATACTGCCTCCTGGGTTATCACTCCACTCACAGCATCTTACTCTGACCTGAGCCAAGCAGGCGTATTTCTAACAAGCTCGTAAGCCTGGGATGCAGGAAAATCCTGTTTACTCTGGATGATGCCGGAGATCAGTGCTCCTTGATGCCCTCCACACACCACATGGGAGTACGAGGAGGATGAGCATCACCCACTTCTGCTTTAACTGAAATTGGCTGATTCCGATATTTGTAAAGTTCTAAGAAGAAATTGTACAATCACTCCATAAAGCAATCCTTTGACACTGATGCCAATCCCCAATAGCATGAACTCACTATCCAAGTCATCCACGTCATCATTCTTCACCTTCAACTCCCTTACCACCCCTCCACCCTGTATCCCAACCCCCAGTCCAGAAAGGTGGGAGGAATCCCTAAACCAGACTTTCTGAGACTAGAAGGGTGATGGGCAGTGATGTGGAGAAGCTCTCTGTGAGTTTTTATTGAAATGTGCACGTAATAAGCAGGCTGCCAAGGTGTGGTAGTTTTAAAGAGCTTGACTGCCAGGGTCCACATCCTGGCTCCGCACTTTGGGTCATACAGACTGAGCACGGAACTTAAATTGTCTCAGTTTCCTCAACCGTAAAAATAAAGATATTACTACCTGCCCTGTAGGACTGTCAAGATGACTAAATGAGTTAATCCACCTAAAGCCCTGAGAACAGCAATCCACAGGCTGTAAGATGCTCAACGACGGTTTGCCACTAATATATATAGATAATACAAATGTGACTCTGGCTCATTTTTTTCCAAAGGTGATTTTCAAGTATTTCTTACATTCAGTGTTTTCCTCAGGCAAATTATCTTAAATCAGCTCTAACAGCTGATTATATATTTCTACATTAAAATCAAACTGCACTATACACCTAAAACGTACCTATTCTTTCATCTAAATGAACACAGAGTAACGCGAACTGAAACGTTCAAGCTTGATATCACAAAATCTTCTAAGAAGCATTAATTAGACTTCCCATTTAGACTATGCCAGGATGAGATCACAAAGTCACTCATGGTAACCAGGTCCCCGCGCTGGAAGTGTGTTTTCCCAGTGAATGGTTAAATACTAACAAAAGAAACCTTTGACTCAAAATACCACTGGTACCCAGGGTCTTGTGTCTGTATAATGCCTACACATTCATTTCTTTCTTCGCCTATAGAAAAAAAGAGTCTGTTTGTTTTTCTGATTCAGTCAGCCCTTTTAGTCTCTGAATCTAAGGAGAGCCCAGTGAAAAGAAGAGCATCTTATCAGCGTGCTCCAGACCAGCAGGCTGTCCCCCTCCACACACAAAACCTCCAGCCCCTCACAGGAAAAGGCCTCGCCCTCAGAGCTTTTTCCCCATTTCAGAGCTAACACCCCGCCGGGTTTTGACAACAAATAAATGAACACACAAGGCCCTTACATAATTAGCCATCTTTTCAGGTAGAAGGAGGTGGGTGGGGAGGAGGGTTCAGGAGAATATTCATTGTAAATTGGCTTCGTTTATGAAGTTGATGTAAGTGTACTGGATCCCAGGTATTTCTTTTAAATGAGGCCACAGGAAGAGAGTTCAGAGACGCCGGCTTCTGTATCTTGACAATTTTAGTATATACTTCAACCAAGTCACAAATGCAGAAATTTTTTTTTTTTTTTAATTAAAAGGAGGGACTTTTCTTAAGCCAGGTAAAAGTTCCATTTACTTGGGCAGGAAGGGAACACAGACTAGGTGTGTTTACTGTCTTTTCAAGGGGAAGCTAACAAGTGAAAGACGCAAGGGCCAGAAAACAATACTTTTGGACACTGTCACTGTGTTCAGAAAATTAGGACCTCTTTCAGGCATACTTATGCTAAGACATGCCTCCCTCCCCCAAAATGACTCTGAGAACAAAAAGGACTAAACATAATCAATAACCCTGTGAACGCCTTTAGGAAAGCCACCAGGCATCGCTGTCATCTGTCATGATCTTAACAGAGCCATGGTCTGCATGGAAGGATACAGTTTGATTGAATCATTATGGGGGTAATAACTTAATTGATTTGTCTCAGTGGCTAAGGATGTAGACAAGAGATATATTATGGAAGAAAAATATCTGCAATCGTGTTTTTGTTTTCTCAACAAGCATCTTGCCACTGACCTCTAAATCAGTTTAACCTTTTCTAAACAGACCTGCACATTTTTTACATAATTTAAGGCTACGTTTTGTTTTTGCTGCTGCTGAAAGGCTCTGTGAGATTTATCACAACATGGCTTCAGTAACCTTCTTTTAAAAACAAAGATGAAAAACAAAACAAAAGGCTATGACTGTAAGCTTCCAGCTCCACTCATTTTCCCGGCAGGGGATTTTGATCTAACCACTAAAGTGCCTTTGGAGTTCAATCTGTTAAAAAATGTATGAAACGGTATTAAAATAGGAAAAGGCATGTGTATGACTCAGGCTTATCCAAGTATCTCTGCAACTAGGATGTCACAGGATTCCCCTGGGCTGCTGGAAACTGAAAACCTTGAGAAAGTGACAGCAGAAGTTCCTGTTTCTTTTTCTTTCTTTCTTTTTTTTTTAAATATATAAATGGGAGGGGGAGCGCGCGCGAACACACACACACACACACACACACACACATATATTGGTCTTCCGGGTTTAGTACGAATCGGGTAGGTTCTTTGAGGTTCCAAGTGAAGATTGTTGTAGCCCAGTGTTACGACTTATTATCTTACTCTTCCACACACAAAGGTTTCCAGAAAAAAACCCAAACTTGTTGCAGAACTGGGCGAAGCCCCCAGCCCGGAGCGCTCCTGCTCTGGCCGCGCCGCCGCCCCTTCCCCTTCCTCCGCGTCCTGCCCGGCCCGGCCGGCGGGAGCGAGGGCATCTCCCCAGCTAAGGTCACCGGCCCGAGCCGTCCCCGCGGGCCGCCTCCTGCGAAACAAGGTCACCGCCCAGCCCGGTCCCTCCGAGGAGGACAGCGGAGTCTGGCCGGGCGCTGCCGCCTTTTGTAGATCGGGGCGGCCGGCCTCCGCGCGGCATCCCCGCCGCCGCCTCACCTGCTTGCGATAGGGCGTCCTGCAGCTGCTGCTGCCCCCGGGGTTGCCGCTGCTGCTGGGGAAGATCANCACCCGCTGCAGCTTTGCACCCCGGCTCGAAGCCCCTTTTCAGGGCATCGCGTCGGGGATCACGCTAACACCTGGATAGGAAGCCAGCTGGTCCCAGTTCTATCTTTTCTTTCATCCTTCCAAACTACCCCCCCACCCCCCTACCGTCCACCCTCCCAGAAAAGGTGCGGGCGATCACACCTACTTCAGTGAACACACCAGCCTTCCATCAAACCTCTGCAAATCCCCGTTCCCCCAATTCGCTCGCGAAAATTTTAGCAGAGAAAATAAGTCTCCACTCCCCACCCCCTCACCGCAAACACGCACGGTAAAGTTCGTGCTTCATTCCTATGCCAGAGTTTGGCAAGCTTACCTTCGAGATGCCAAAATCAAATAGCGAAAATCATTTCAAGCCATCGGTTTAGCAAGCCTTCTCGAAAACTGGAAGAGTACGATCCTTCTATATTTAATTATTAGATGTGACACAAATGTGTTCCACTGAAGGGACACAGAAACTGCAAAACAGGGACAAAGGGAGGAGGTAGTTTCCTTTGTTTTTCAACTGAAATTATTTAAGGCGATTCAAGATGCCCCCACATTTTTTTTTTTTTTTCCTGATCAGCTTTGCATTCGTTAGCATATCAAGCCCAGATAGAACCTGAGCAACGATGACGGCCTCTAGAGCAAGTTCCACAGGCGCAGTGTGTGGATGGGCCACTCGGACAGTTGGCCTGTTCAGCAGAGACTGAACAGAGAATATTATCAGGGATAATGTTACCACACTAAGCGGTCAATATTATAGCGTTCTTCCTTGGCCTTTGGCCTCTAACGCCTCCCTTGAAAGGGTCATCTGCCATGATAATGAAAAATCCCAACTTGGCTAAGAAGTGAAGGCACTCAACTTTTGGCTGCCCTAAGGAAAACAAAGTGGTCCCTAAAGAAATCGAATCTTCTAGCAAAGCTGTGACCATTCAAGGGTGTTACCAGCAGCAAGGAGCTGAAAAATATCCAACCTAGATACCCTTCCCACTGCTGACCTTGGGAACCACCTCAGTACACAGAGGGGCTCCAAATGTTCTCTGACAAGTGATGAGAACTAGCAAGTCTCGCCTACTTAAAAACTGCATACACAAACTATACATATAATTTCTAATTCTTCTCATTAAAAAAAGAAAAAGCAGCAGTAGTAAACTTACTCTAAGCACAGTACTAGGTGCACCGTTTGGCAAGTAAGAACTTGATAGATAACATTCAGAGAAATGTATCTGTTATTTTAAATGATTGAATAAAAACAATGCAACTAACATTCAGCTCTGTGTTAATATATATACTATTTAGGACTACTCCAAGCCATTTTGGCTTCTCCTTTGCTGTCTCCAGGCACTAGGTCCTTCTACCTAGTCATCAAACACAGGTATAAAATAAAAGTCTTTAGGTAGAACTGTTCAAGTCATAGATGCCTTTTGCTGAGAACTTAAGTCATCAAACACGGGTATAAAATACAAGGCTTTAGGTAGAACCATTCAAGTCACAGATGCCTTTTGCCGAGAACTTAATGCCCAAGACCCCAGCAGTTCTAACCTGTCATCTATGGAAAAAATTCCATGTACAACCTCAGTTGTCATGACTGGTCTCTTAGGAAACCACAGTCTAAACCACAAAAGAACAGCATAGATTAATTTTTCTATGGCTCTGCTCTAAGGTCATGATGCTTTGGATACCGTGCTCTTCTAGAATGGGAAGACTTGATTTGATACCCTGCAGTTGTTTTATAGGGTTAAGACAAGATTTTAAATGATGATACAATTTAAATTGGACTACAAGAGCAATTCTAATAACTAGGTAACTAAAATATACTAAGAACATTAAAAATATTTCAAGGACTATTTTTAAGAGTAAAAATGATATCTAAATAGCAACAAAACAAAATGTTCGATATAGTGGATGGCATAAAAGGAAACAAGGAAAGGTATATTTATACAATGTCTACAAGCCAGGGTTCAAAAGTTCCAGATTCAGGAAGGTACTACACACTTAACTAAGCACTGCAAAGAAAGAAGACAGATTTTCCACCCTCAATGACTATAAAATGTAAAATATAACAAAGTCACTAAAGCCCAAATAATTCCAACCTAAGAGAGATAACAAATATTAAACCATATATATATATATATAATACATACATATAGAATCAATTATAGATATTCACAAGTGATTATTTATAAATGGCTACAAGAAGAGATACCAGTGAGATTCATCTAGGAAAGTATATTTGACCTTTGAAAAAAATATATTTTAGGACAAAGCAAGGAAGCATTCCAGAGAAACTGTAAGTTATCGTGGTCAAAATTAGAGCTTTGGAATCTGCCCGGTAGATACTCATCTTCCTGAAAGGGAAACTGAGCCTTTGTTGAGTGGGCAGTCAGACAACATCCTCCACAGCCCAGCTCAGCTGGTGGGTAAAGTTGTGGGAATCTGACCCAAGAGCAGTCAATCCACAGATAGGCCAGTGACCTATGACATGGCTGGGACTGAAAAAATGAGCAGAGCCAATCAGATCCTCACCCCTGGGAATCTGATTCAGAAAACTGAACCAGTTAGGAAAGGGGCAGAAACTGCAAGAGTGCCAGGGGTAGAGTTGAGGCCACAAAAAGCCAAAACCATACGCAAGCCAAGGTTATGAGGAAGCAGAAACTATGAGTAACAGGAAGCTGACTGGCAGCAAACGGAGAGGCAAGCAGATGCCAGGAGCGGGTGAGCACTTGGCGGGGACATGATGGAGTCCCTGAAGTTGCTCTGGCTCTTCAGACTGACAACAGCCCCTCTGTGTGTATGGGGAACCAGCCCCACCCCTCGTTCTTCAGATAGCTTAAGTGAATCTGGACTTTGCAACCCAAGGGACAAAATTAAACAGCCAAACCAATCTGGCTCCACATTTCAGCTTTCCACTGACTAGCCACATGGCTTTGGGTAAGCCAGTTAACCTCTCTGAGTCTCAGACTCCTCACTGACTGTCCTAAGTATATCTATGGTACTCCAACCAAAGTGCCCCACTCAATAAATGGCAGCTATTATTATTGTTTTCCCAGGTTTTATAGTGGTGGTTTGTAGACTTAAGTGGGTATACTGTGTAAATAACTGCTATTAGTAAGGCTGGCTGATCATCAAAGAGAAGGAGCAAGGGAGCAGGTTGAATGGACAAGTGAAAAAGACCAAATTTAGGTAAGGAGAGCTTGCGTCTTTGAGAACTGTTTGCTGAATGGCTGAATGAAGATGCTTTCCAAGGCTTAATCCTAAGAGGTTAAAAAACATGTCTGACAGGAGGTCTGTTTCAAGAGCCTAGGTGAACTCAAGGTTTTCTCCCACGTTTGTTTTTGTCCTGTTTCCTTTAAAGAGGTTGTATGTTGGACCAGGGCCATTTCTGTATGAATGGGAAGACTGTACGTGCTATCAGAGATCACACTGTGAGGCAGGAGGAGGCTATGAATGAGGCTAATAAGGACAGAGCCATCAGTGCATGCAGGAGCCTGCAGCCTCGTAGAGATGAGATTTCGTGATTCTCAAGTGTTTGTAAAACCACAATCTGAGAATCTGAGTTGAGAAGATATTTGTCCCATAGAAATATTTTGAAAATGAGACTTTCATTTATAAATTTCACATCTCATTTCACTTTCACAACAACTCTATGAAGTTGGAAGGGTTATTAGGCTTCATGTACCGATGAGAGGAAAACAAGTGAAGACTCACTGACTTAACCATAGAGTTAGGAAGTAGCAAGCAAATGTTCAAACCCAGATTGAGTGAGGGTTAAAAGATCCTGTTCTGTGCTCCTTCAACACTATAAAGCTGGGGCTCAAAAAAGCCTTATAAATAATGCTCCAATTCCCAGGTGAGTACTTGTAACCCCTACAGCGCTGAGTTGCTGGACACGAATAATGCAAGGCATTAAGTGATAAGTGCCAGCCAAGTGGTACAATTACGCACTGTGCAAGTCCACTGCAGGGTGAGATCAATACAGGATATAACAAGGGCGTAGGGAGCTCAGCTGTATAAATGTTTTTATTTGAGGGACATTCAGAAAGAAGCATTCTGCAGGTGAGAAAAACAAAAAGTGTGTGTGTATGTGTGTGTGTCTGTATGAGAGAGAGATGGGTGGTATGAGAGAGAATGTAGATGTGGGGTGACTGCTGTTGAAATCATCACCTACCAATAAACTCCTTAAGGCAGCAGGAAAATCAAAAGGTTGGGGAGCCCCCCATTCCAACACGTGACTGAGCCTCATATAGGAAAGAAAGAAGACTTTGAATAAAATTACTCAGAGAGTGTGGTGGGAGAGCTAAGCTTTGAAAGAAGGGGGAAAAATGGTGGGGGGGGGGGCAGGTAGAGAAGATATCCAATGAGATAAGAATAGAATACCTCTGTCAGCAAAAGAGGAGACCTGCGGTAGGTTCTAATCCTCGATCGGGGCTAAGGCATTTCAAGCACCCTTTTTTATTTGAGTCACATTAAAAACAGAAAGAAGAGGAAAAATTTATCTAACATTACCTTACATTACAATATTTAAGGAATAAAATATAACCACATAGTAGGTGTTAGTGTAAGCAGTTCAAACTTAAAAAAATGTGTTTACATTTGAGTGTCTCTACATCTAAAATATAACAAAAGCCTCTAGCTCCCAGCAAAGCAGGGGAAAAAAAGAAAAATATGAGGTCAGCAGATTCTTCAAATTTCTGTTCTTTCTTGATAGAAAATACAGTTGATAAAGTATCCTATTTCTAAAGGAGCAGCAATATTTTCTATTATTTACTATTTTGCTTTTTTAAAAATTCTACAATCTTATTCTAGACCTGAAGTCTCCCTAGACGCATATAAAATCACATGTGTATAAAAATGAAACTACTATAATAAAATAAAACTATAGCTCTATAGCTATAATCCTGGAAGACATATAGAACAACATAAACATGGCCAAATTCTGATGAGTCTTATCAGAAGCAATATTCTAATGATTCTTAAATTTATTCTGGTGAACAAAACAGAAGAAATGGGCTTTTCC